TCCATAAGGGATGCTTCCCGACTTCCAACCTCTTCTTTGAAGGGAAGATAGTCCCAGTGGAGCAAATCTAAAATGAGGTTTAAACTGGTTCCCCCCCTCCCCCCGCCGCCGCCGTTGTTGAGCTCTCTTAACATAACCAAACGCCCTCCCCCTCCCCCTCTTCCTCCTTCCCTCTTTCTCAGTTGAAGCCTCACTTTTGGGTGGTGGGGCACTCTTTTACCCCCAGCACCACCTCTTCTTGCAGGTCAGCAGCTCAGGTACAAATCATTCCCCCCTCCCCCCCGCGCTTAACTAAACCGCTAGACCCCTGGTTGTAATCTCTTGTCGGGAGAGGAAAGCCGCATTCTAGATGGAGAAAGGGAAGACGATGCTCAAATTGAGTCCCTCCCTCCTCCCTGGACAAATCTCCAGTTTCGATCTCTTTCCCCTTCGGGGAACCGGAAACCCACGTTCTGTTGCAAGGGGAAATTGAGACTCAAATGGCTCCCCTCGCCCCCGCCTCTTCCCAGGTCTGTTTTTAACCTTTCTCTTCTTTCGTGGATGAGTCCTCCAGGTTTGCTGCCCCTTGCTTGTTTTGCAGTAATCATCTTTCTGCGGAGCGGCGTCGAAGTGGTCTGTCTTCCAGCTAGGCTGCTCTCGGGATCCGGGGGCTGCGGCGACTCTGCTGCCTGCGAGGCGCAGGGACCTGCCGCTTGCTCAGAGGGGAAGGCGGAGCGGCGCCGGCGGCAGCCTCAGTCCAACCAGCGCCGCCCCTTCTGTTACCGGTTCCCTGCTTCCCAGACCTTGCTCTTCCCCCCCCCCGCTCGCAAGCGAGGGTCGAGCGGCTGTTAGCTGCCCGGGCCTCGCGGCCCTCCCCCGGCTCCCAAGCGGCGGCAGCATTCAGGGAGGTTTCAGAGCGTCCCCTGTGCATGCGCAGGGGATGCCGTTTCACTTTTGGGGGGATTTAAATATCCCCCGATATTTTTTTTTAGTTTTGCGATTTTTGTGCACCCCTGGGGACTGCCCCAAGAGTGCACAAACCTCCCCCTGCCCCCCAGGTGGCCCCAGAGTGCTGATTTAGCAATCCGCACTCACGGGGCCACTTGACTATTAGATGTATAGATGGGCTGAGAGACTGACTGGAATGCTGTGGAGCCACTCTAATGTCCCCCCCCCTCACCAGGCCTAAACCTTCCCCCACCACCATACCTCTACCTATCTGTAAATAAACAGAACTAAACAATCCACACCTATAATATCCTACTGCTCATCCCCACACCATTCCCTTTCTCAGCTGCAACTACTCACTGGCTGTAATTGGCTTTACCCTGATCAAAACAAGATATTACAGAATATTCTCTTATCCCAAACATCTTTATTAATTATAAATGGGGGAAAATTCTAACTACACCACAACACAATAACCTGCAATTCCTTACATTTCTCGTGTAGTAACTATAGCATACACCTTCATATGACCCAATGTATGAATTGGATGAAGAGCAGAAACAAAGAGACCAGCAGAAACCAAACAATGTTAGGGAACAGATCAAAGTGAAGAACGGATACAAGCCACTGGAGAACAAGGAACTATCAGAGGACTATGCTGAGATTTTGGTTTAGGGTTCTTAGAGGACCCACCTCCAGCATTCCTAAATTTCTCCCTTAGGAAAAGTCAGAGAAATACACTGTAGCCTCAGGAAATACAATGAAAAGTCCTAGTTTTAATTTAAAATTATCTGCTTCAGAGAATGGGAGTCATATGTTTCACAGGCATTTGACACAGAAATTATACAATTCTTGATCTCAGAAGGAATACAATCTATTTGCCTAAGACTAGAATAATTTTTAAAGAATGAGTGATTCCTAGATTCAGATCAAGCCAGTTTTACTGACGAGAGGACCAGTACAGGTTGTTACATGCTCCTCATTATGAGCAGCAAGAAGCTCCAGGGGCACCTTAAAACGGTACTGTTATAAATTTAGTAATATATAAAACTGCCTTCCAGTTTGGCAAGGTAAGCTACAGATCTCATTTTCCCCCTTTGTCTTCTTTCCTCTCTGTTCTACTTCTGAGAGCATCTAACTTCAGTTGAACGCCAAACAGAGGTCATTTCGGGGGGGGGGTGAGGTGCAGGGGGCGGGGCACATGACAAAGCCCCGCCCCCTGCTTCCGGCCGCCCCGATTCCAGCCCTCATTCAGCCAGGAGGAGGCAGGAGAAGAGGGAGGGTAAGTTGCTTCCTCCCTGCCTCTCCCCACCCCTGACTGCCTGGGGCCAAGGAGGGCCTTGGTGGGGCTTCCTCGCACTCCCGCTGGCCTTGCAGGTCCACCGCTGGGCCCCTGATGTCAGGATGTGTGTCATATGCTAATGAGTTATTAGCATAACTCATAGTTCCCCTAGCTCTTTTTCTACGAAATGACCCCTGACGCCAAAGGATAAGGCCTGTGCATTTTATCTTATGTATTGATTACTGGTTTTATAAGTGGCTTTGAAATATTAAGAGTAGTAATTATTAGCTGTGATAATAACTGAATTATTAGTAAATCAGTCCTACCAGTGCAATATAGATAGATCCATTTTTTGCTCTGTAACTGCAGGAAATGCTCTACTTTTAGAGTATTTTCATAGCACTATCCTATCTTCTGCTTGCATGAACAATCATCGGATTGAACATCTTTTTATAAACCATCAGAATACAAACACAAATGATCCTATAATGACCCTTATGCCACAATGTTTTATAGGATTATATCCTGGTGTTCCCCCCCCCCCCACAGTCTTGAAATCCAAAATTGGAATTTAGTATTACCAACAAAGTATTACCAACTTAAAAGAAAGTGTTCATGATATTAGGAGCAAATTAAATATACCTTAAACTATAGTCCCGTATGATGAAGGCATGATAGCCTTTCTCTATTGCAAAGTGCTCCCCAAAGAAGCATGCAATTTAGGATTGCCAGCTCCAGGTTGGGAAATACCTGGAGATTTTGGGGGTAAACCTGAGGAGACTGGGGTTTGGGGAGGGGAGGGACTTCAATGGGGTATAATGTCATAGAGTCCACCTTTCAAAGTGGCCATTTTCTCCATGTGAACTAATCTCTGTCACCTGGAGATCAGTTGTAATAGCAGGAGATCTCCAGCCGACCACTTGGAGGTTGGCATCCCTATTAATCATGACAGCTACTCCCCCCAAACATACTCTTCTCCGCTGCTTTTACCTGCATAAAGTTTCAGGCTTGTGTTTACATGCCTCTGCTGATTTTGGAATGCTAGTTATTTCTTATGTACGTATGCATACTACACACGCATGTGCACTTTCTGTTCATAGTATCATTGCTATCCAAGAGTCTATAAACTTTCCAATCAAAGAATTCAACCTAGTACAGCAGGTTTTAGGAAAATATGATACACTATCTATTAGGGTTGCCTCAGTAACATAATGTGTTTAAAATAAAGTCAAAGTAAATACAATAAAAATTCTGGATTTCTGTTACAGTGATCATGCTTCTTAACCACCTTCCATTACTTTGAACCTGTTAACGCTCTCTTTCTGTCTCTTATTACCCTTCCAACATGTGTCATGTGCATCATGCATTCCTGATCTGAATTCATTTCCTGCTCTTGTTGAATGGCTGCTAAGGACCATTCTGAGCAACAACTGGAGAAGAGAGAGGACATTGTTTATTTCACCCCACCACACGCACACTTGAATCAAAATAAGAAATGGCACAGAACAGCAGTAACCACAAATGTTGGCTACAATAAAACTGTTAAAGACTGAGCTGGAAGTACCTTGCTGGATCATTGTTTCCCTGGGATGAAAAAGAAGCTATCTTCTCTTTCAGTATTATAGCTCCCTGAAATATTCCATACTCTCACACTAGTTCTAGTGTGCTCAGGAAGAGACATTTTGTCCCCAATTGTCTCTGGTTCAAAGATTTTTCATTCATATTCCACTGTTAAAGTGTTATTTATTTCTCAAATGTATAATACATCCCTCAGCCAAGACTCTCAAGGTAGATAATAGTCAAAACCAGCATAACCAACTCCAGAGCTACTCAGAGCCTTTCTCTAGTACAGTAGCCTGTCGTGGGATCTATAGTTGTACTAGACAGCTAGAGATCGCTAACAAACAAGTTGGTTAACATATAAATTCACTCACAGAGTGGCAGAGGGAGGGGAATTCTTTGTTAGAACTCTCTATCAGTGATGCCACGGACCTCAGTTTGCAAGACCTGAGCAAGGCTGCTAAGGATAGAACGTTTTGGACAACATTAACTCATTGGGTTGCCATAAGTCAGTAGTGACTTGATGGCACTTAACAAACACACATATCAAGGAGCTTCCAATTCTGTGTTTGCAAAATATGTTTCATTTTCTAGGTGGAGCCCTAGAACCAAAGGATTTTTATTATTTAAAATAAATTTGGGGCAGCAAGGATACACAGCAATTACATATAATTACAGATACAAAAGTGGTACAAATCATGTATATTCTGCACATGCAGTGGAACATCTAAATCAGTTTCGTCATAGACAAAAGATTTTCCAGGGGAGTTAACCGAATCCTTAGCTGAAATGAGAGGTTTGCAGAAAGCTTTCATTTGTGAGATTTGATAGTTTTAGTTTTTCTGCTGTTCAGTGCTATAATTATCATTATATCGTATAAATGCACAAACAGCAATCTTTCAGTGTTCATATTGTGTTATAATCAAGGAACCTCCAATTTAATTTTGTGCCCAGCAAAACCACTGGGAACCCCTAGGCAGCCCTCCAGCTGTTTGCTAACATAATCATCTTCACATTGTGATTGTCAGGAGCAGAGCACCACAAAGTAGGCTGCCTCTTGGTCCAGGGGAGGAGATCAGTTCCTTAAGGAGAAGCTGGTACAATGTCAACAGCATGGCTGACCTAGAAACTGTAGGGGGGTTTTGCACACTGGCTGTTTCGGCTGTAGATGAATAGACCACATGCTGGAAATTTTAGCATAAGATACAATGCATATTGTTTATTCATGCAGAAACTTGAATATATGTGGTCAGAGTTCATTCGGAGGTACTCTGCAAACGCATTTTGGAAGCCATACTAAATACTGAATGTTTACCAGTGAAGCCCATTAGTTTTATGACCAAAATCTTAGCATGTAAAGATGACACTTACAGGAACGCGTAAATTGTTATATACCTTGTATGGATATATACTGTGTATGTGTGTGTGTAAGCTGCCTTGAGAGTTTTCAGAAAGGCAGGATAAAAATATTCAAAATGATTAAATAATCTTTCCCAATATGTCAATTTTTTAATTAACAGGCATATGACCAGTCAAATCTTTCTGGACATGAGAATGTGAGAGGTAAGGGTTTTTTTTCCAGATTTCGTACAAATTCCACCAGATATCTGAAGAATTCTCTTTGCATATGTATGTATGCTACAAGTTGCAGCCATGCAGTCCAGTCCAGAGGCCCAGGAAAGCTCCAGTGTACACACACAGCTTGTGTGCTTGGACTGCTGCAGGTGTTTCTAGAGGCAACTACTTATGCAAGTGCATGCAAATCTATCATTTTTATTAATATGAAGAGATCAGTTTTTAGATTAGGAGAATGTGTCAGGAATGGCCCAAAGCATCAAGGCATCTGGGGGAGGGGACCCCCATCCTGTCAGGGTTCGATAGTTCGATCACACCACACAGCGCTTCATAAGAAGAATTCTGTTTATTGGTAGTTCATAACTATGACACATGAACGTCTTGTGTCAGGAATGGCCCGAAGGATCAAGGCACCCTGAATTATACTAGGTTCAAAACACACACACCCACAAGCAAAGGCCAATAAGCAATGCCTCCACGCGCAGTGAAAGAGAGCAGGCAAAGTAGAAACCGTTTGTTCCCAGCGAGGTAGCAGCTGGAACATCCAAGGTCAGAAAAGCAAAAGCAGATAAAACCCAGACAGTAGACTGCGTTAGTGTACCAGGCAGTGGCCAGGAAGATTCCCCCACACACATTCCAGAGGATGGCAGTGTTAACTGACAGAATGTAGTCATTTGTACTGTCATAAAGATACTACTGGATCAAAGCAATATAAGACCAGCCACTCACATTGCAGTAGAAGCATAAATCCTTCACACATGAGGGTTCCAGGGCTTACAAAATGCCATATCAATACTCTCTCCGATGTTTTTTTAGTTATCCATTTTATGGGGAAAATGCTGTCACGTGAATCATATCATGGTCTACTTACATATCGCTTAGGACTGTTCATGTTATGCAGTGATATGGGAAAGAAGGGCTCTGACCCAGACTTCTAGCATTACTTGAGAAAGAAGCCTAGAACCAGGATACAGATGAAAGCATGGGAACGGACTACAGCTTCTCATTGAACATATCATTACATCATAATGTTCCAGTGTCACTAGAGTATGCCACAAAAAAGTGACATCAGTGGAAGAAATAGCCCAGGCTCCTTACCACTGAGTACAGTGGAAGGGGGAAGAGGTGATGGCGCCCTTTCCAGTGGGCAGTGGTGACAAGAACTGCCAGGGCTATGGTTATAGCACCATGCAGATGCACAGTTACTGAATGTCTAGTGGAAGACGGTGCCAGCAAGTGCTGTCATAAGAATGCAGATGTTCTGGGTTACACTAGCCACTCAGTAGCTGTACACTTGCACAGTGCTGCAGATGTGGAAGCATCAGCTCTGTCACCACCTCCCAATACCAGCTGCCAGTAAGAGTAACTATTCTTCATCCCCCTTCCACAGCAGCCAGGAGTGAGTTGAGCTCTGGGATGTTCCCTACAACTCACCTATAAACTGCTGCTGCAACACATTACTTTGTTTCTTAGCTAATATAATGCACTCATGGGGTTCAATATGCTATCCATAAACCTCGTATCTATCTCATTTGCTGTTTATGGCTCCAGTTGCAAAAACAGTACAGACAATAAATAAATAAATAGCTCTCTCATAACTGAATGTGAAATTTGCATCAATTACTGCCTGTGGACCTTGTGAATTATCTAAAGACACTGAGGGCCTAATTACAGTACACATTGTCTTCAGATCGCCAAGGGTCCTCTTGACCAGAAATGCACTGGGAGTTCCATACTCAGAACTTAATTTCCATCACTATACGTGTAGTCCATCAGTATATGTGTTTCTGCAATAGCAGCTCACCCGGGCTCTTTTAGGTCCAGATAATGACACTGGGAGGGGTTAAGTCCTCTCTCCCCACATGCTGCATCTTGATCCATGTTGTGCCTCTGTCTGCCTGGGAATTAAATTGTGAACACAGAACTCTCAGCACACATCTAGTTGACAGGACCCAGGAGAGTTTGGGAAGAGGGCCTGAGGACAGTGTATTACATAGTTGAACAGCTAGATTCAAGTCCAGTAGCACTTTAGAGACCAACAAGCTCCCTTCATCAGATACATACAATGTAATTAGGTCCCTGCTATTCAAATCAATGAGGTGGTTCGTGATCCATGTATGTAGAGCCCTCCCCCCACACACACACAGTATCTCTACTTGAATCTCGGGTTGGAGGTGGGGAGAAGGGCCACTCATTAAGAGTAAAGCTCCATTCTGCATGGATTTCTGTTACAGTGTTTTTCTGGCTTCAGCTGGACTCTAATGAAGTCTAGATTTCAGACTGAACTTCAAGGAAAAGCAAAAAGTTCTAAATGAGGGTGGACCAATGCTGAATATGAATGACGAATTACTTAGCCCAGATAAGCATATGGAGCAGAGGTCCATCAGTGGCTATTAGCCACAAGGTATAGATAGGGACTCTGGGGCAAGTGATGCTCTATCATCTTGGTGCTTGGGGGGGTCAATGTCCTGGCCCCACTGGTGGACCTCCTGATGGCACTGGTATTTCTGGCCACTGTGTGATACAGAGTGTTGGACTGGATGGGCCTTTGGCCTGATCCAACATTGGCATCTCTTATGTTCTTATGTTCTCTCAGGTTCTTCCCAAAAATTTTTTTTCCCATTTTGATATTTAACACACACACACACACACACACAAAAGGTCTATCATGAAATAATATGTATCACAGCTACAGTAATCCTTTAACACTGGACAATGAGCATGCTTAGAAAACTACAGTTTCGGGATAAAAAAAGCCTGGATAAAAACACATGCTTTTTTTATATAAGATTAATCTTATGAAGGTGGTTGCATAACTTGGTTATACACGTAGTGAAGCTTTTACCAGCATTTTTTTTTATTTAGATCTCTCAAAAGACCTGAAGAAGCCAAACATAATTTTCGTATTTGGTAAGTAAGAACTTCAGAAACAATTACCTATAGCAACTAGTTCACCAGTGTTGTGTTATGGTTGATGCTTGTTGATGATTTCCTCCCCCCAGTCAATCAGTCTTTTTTATGACTCATAGCCCATTCAGAAACAGAAAAAACACTATGCTAGACTTAGTTACCTACATAAAATCTCAGCATACATAATTTATCCTAGAAATATTTACAGTTTAAGGGTTAGAATTGGAGTAGATCATACACAGGACATTCCCTCGACTCCTCACTCCTCCATTTGCACCTGCTGGATGACCTTGGGCAAGCCATAGTTCTGGCACAGCTGTTCTTGAAAAAGATCAGTTTCTGTCAGAGCTCTCTCAGCCCCACCTACCTCATAGGGTGTCTGTTGTGGGGAGGGGAAGGGAAATGAGTTTGTAAGCCGCTCTGAGATTCCTTTGGGTAGTGAAGGGCAGGGTATAAATCCAATCTCCTCCTACTCCTTTTCTTCTTCCTCTCTCCACAACAGGCACCTTGTGAGGTAGGTGGGGCTGAGAGTGTTCTGAGAGGACTGTGACTGGCCCAAGGTCACTCAGCAGGCTTCATGTGGAGGACTGGGGAATCAAACATGGCTCTCCAGATTAAAATCTCCTGCTCTTAACCACTACATCACTGTCTCTACACCACACTAGCTCTAAATAACAAGAAACAAGAATAACACACTTTATTTTAGTCATGAGATCTATACATACTTTAAGGATCCTATACTATCAAGTATTTAACATTATCTAAAAATACAAAATTAAACTACATCAGGTGCAAATATTTTTACAATTGAACTTTTTGTGCTTTCAATAACATTAACATTAACCAAAATTAGTATGTTTTTATTTTTAGTCTACTTACTGCCATACAACCAGAACATTAACACGAGCTTCTTAGCACAGGTAACTTGAATGATCTTAACTGTTTCTATTTCCACAAAGCAACCAAACACTATCCTCAAAAAGAGCAGAGAGAGTGAGGGAGCAGGTAGCGCAGAACCATGAACATACACAATACCATGCAAAGTCTGAAATTCACAGTGCTTGGTAGCAATGGTGGCTAGTGGCCAGTAGGGCTTATAGCAAAAGGCAGGCAGAGCCAGAACAAAATAACTCTGTTTTTGTCCTCATCCTTGTCCCTTGCACACTAAGAATGCTCAAACACAATAATCAGTTTCTTAACAGATAACATCTAAATGAACTTAAGAGTCTCTTACCAAAGCTGGGTAGGCTTGTGTGCTGTCGAATCCCTTAAGGGGAAAATGGTGTGGTCTCTGCCACACCTTCCAAACACCCCTAGCCATTTCCTGCCCTCCAACCACTAGGTAATACCACCCAGTTAGGCATCTCTCTCAATGTTGTACTTAATTTCTTTTATACACATAATAGTCATAAGCTTCGTTAATAAAAAGCTGCAGATTACAATTCCATGCATGCTCACTTGAGAACAAAACCTACTATATTCAGTTTACTTCCAAGTAAATAAGCATACAACTGGCTTGACATCAAAAAGAGATAAGGGCAGGGGAACGTTTTCTGACAGTGCAACCCTTACAGAATTACTCTAGTCTAAGCACATTAACTTCAGTGGACTTAGACTGGAGCAACTCTGCATAGGGACTTATTTTAAGGATCCTATACCTTCTTCCAGCAATATTCCAACCAAAGAACTAAGTTGCCCTTAAAAAATCATTGCAGGTTGTAAATATTTGTGTACGCTTGGCCTGCTTTTATAACATTTAAAGAAGCCTCCCATTTCTTAGGCAGATGACAAACTAATATTACTACTGCACCATAAGTGCATGTGACTTTTTTTCTTCCATCAAAGTCACAGCTGACTTCTGGTGAACTCATGGGGTTTTCAAGGCAAGAGACATTCAGAAGTGATTTGCCATTGTGTAGTGACGCTGGACTAACCAAGGCTGACCCTGCTTAGCTTTCAATATCCAAAGAGATCAGACTAGCCTGGGCTATCCCAGTCAAGGCATATGACTATAGATTTACTTTTACAAGATACAGAGCCTGACAGGCTCCTTCCTCAACCAGAAACTGTCAGTATGGTACTCAAAAGACACGATATGTTCTCAGTACTGAAGCTCCCCCACCCTACGGCCTTGTTTTGTTGCTAACTAAGGATAGGCTGAGCCTGCCACATCTCATGCATATGAAGGTCTTGAAAAGATGTGAAGTTGCTATGGCAATCGGTAACATATCGCAAGCAGGATGTGTGTTCCTTCCTATTCTTAATACCTAAAGTCTGTGTTATACAGAAGAAGTTGTCAAGCATTTGTTACAGCAATTCAATTTGTCCCTCCGAATGGGATGAAATTATTTCACTGGAACCAAGCCTCAGAGTAGAAACATTCAAGCAAGAGTTGGACAAAAAAACACACACAACAACAACAAGAAATCTTCAATCATTCTGGCTTGCATCTCTTTCAAATAACAATAGAATTTCACATTCAGTGCATATTAAAGCATGAATTGCATAGTGAGCCCTTGGAATGACACTAAATAAATACTAAACAGCAGTAGCGTCTGTTTTACCTGTTTGATTATGTTCGTTATTTTGCTTCTTTTTGGTACAGCCTCTTTAAAAAAAAAAAAAAAAGACACAGTTACCAGAAGTCGACTATTTTGTTGTGGCAAGTTATTTGGTGAATAACTTATGACATGTTTTGTCATTATAGCTACATCCACACTGCTGTTTTGCACCAATTTGGGTCCCAAACTTGAGTGCTGTCTTTTGGGCTATCCATACATCATTCTCCAATTGACCACCATCCAGTTTTTAACCTTTGCTCTAATCTTTCCCAAACGGGCATTGTTACAATCTTTTCAGTAATACTGCAATCCAAGTAGGTTAGCGTGCCATCTGGATGGGAAGATGTTCATTTTCAAAGCTCCCAAACACATTGGCAACATTTTACTGTCATCATCCCCTTACACCACTGGATGGCTTTGTGCCAGCTTTAAAAATCACAACCACAACCAACAATAGTACGGGGGGGGGCAGGTTGAGGGAAATGAAAGGTGTGTAGGAAACTTATGTGGATGGCTACGCAGTTGCTGTTGTGAATGCCCCTGCATTTGCAGCAAAAATGAACCCACAACAGAGTATTGTGGCAGCCTTGTGGATGCAGCCTGTGACTACCAACTCTACCAACATATCTCCAGAATTTTTTAGGATGCTCTGGTTCCCAAAATGGGCAATACCGCCCCCTGAGGGGAGCTGGAATGATCCAGGTGGGCTGGAACGATCCAGGTGCAGATCCACAAACTGCACCTTTTTGTCCACTTATTGAAGGTAGATATCCAGGGGGAGGCTGAGTAATTTTTTTTCTGAAAAGGGCGCAGTAGGCCAAATAACTTTGGGAACCTCTGCAATTGCTTCACATGCCAAGCAATCATAGGACTTACTACTATGGCAAATACCACACAAAAAGTTGCATTCCTTGTAGATTCAAAATCCAACAATCATTTAAAAAGTTATGTAAATTGGCTTTTAGTATTAGAATCATCTTTCAGAAGTCAGTGATAATACTAATCAATTAAAGAATTTCCTTTCTGTAGAGTTGCAACAGTGCACCTCCACATTCAATCCTGCTGATAAATACTGGCTGCAATTCACTCTTTCTCATCTTCTGAATAGGGAATAAGCAATACACTTAGCTAAAGAGTAAATGGTAACCATCATTGTATTGCCAATAAAATGGCTTCAAAGGAAATGTCTTTTCCCAGCAAAAGGAGGTGGGGATGAATTGTGCCGATTTCACTTTCCCACTCCAGACCTCCACTCTGTGCTTGAGGATCACCTCCTATCCAGGATGCAGACAGAGACCTTGAAATAAAAGATCCCAAAAGACTAAGTGATCCTCCCCCCCCCCCCACCTTCCCTTTATGTCTTTTAAACATATCATCTGATTATGAGTTCTGGAGAGCTGAAAAGCTTGCTCACTGTGGTGTGTGATTTTGGCTGGTCTCAATAAATGGCATTACACAACTTTTGGTTTTGTATTTTGTATTTACCATGTAAGTCTTTGTAATAGGTTAATAGCAAGAGAAATGATTTTTTTAAAAGGTACAGTTTAATTATAGACATAATTATTGAACTGATGATTTCATTAAAAGATGCTGCTACAAAGAGATATTTAAAAACTAAGCTTCTAATAACATTATTTCGTTCCCCAGATTTTTTCCTGCAAAGAAAGAAATGGGCTAATTAAAAGATTTAAGGATTTGGCAGTAATTAACTGAAAAAAGAAGCCCAGGAGACAGCTCAATTAGGCAATTATGCTGCTGTTCTAATACAGACCCCCCCAAAAAACTTAATGCCAGAAAAGCAAAAATAAGATAGGTTTAAGGTAATAATAAAAGCAGACCATTCAGAAAGCCTGCAGATTGTAATTTGTTACTACTATTGTTTTGTTACATTTCTCCACAGATGATGAGGAGAAGCATAGCAAAGAGGGAAAATGTTTTCATTCTTTTATTATTTATTTAGGTATTTATTTCATTTTTTCCCCCAGTAGGGACTAAAAGCTGCTTACAGCATAATTCTCCTCTCCTCTGTTTTATCCTAACGAGAACTCTGAGGTCACCCAACAAGCTTCCATGGCAGACAGCGGATTCAAACCTGGGTCTCCCAGATCCCTGTCCAACTCTCTAACCAGTAAATTACTACTCCTTCTCAATTCCTCACCTGATCCAATTAAAGATGTCTCTAATAGCATGAATCACAACCTTAAATGGAATGCAAATCCAAACATACCGCTTAGTTGCCACAGAACTTGCATTTGCTTGGATGCCCATCCCAATGGGAAGGCACTTACGGCCAAACTAGATGTGATGGTGTCATCATGGCCGTCACAGTAACGCTACTGTCATTTTAAAGTTATTTGAAAATGCCGTAAGGGCCCAATCCTGATCAGGGTTCAGCACGATGGGCTGAGGCACTCTTGTCTGTGTTGTTCCCCTGCCCCA